AGGGCCAGCGTCATCTCCACACCTTAATGCCCCATCTGGTCATGAACACTTCGCAACACCATTTCGACCAGACATGTTGGGAGCAGCAACTGTTGGCATTCCCCATTGAACACATCATCAATCGTTCTGTACATCAGCCCTTCTTTCTCTTGGATCTTGTTCCACTGCTTAAGCAACATCCTCAACGGTCTTGACAAGTGCTTTCTCTCACGATTTGTGGGTTTCCTCTTCTTGTCCCAGAAACTCTTGAGCACACTGATGGTTGGATCTGCATCCTGAAACTGACGAAGCTCATCCTTTGTGTATCCAGGTAATGTTGGGGTATTCTCCATGGGTCCCCCTCCAGTCTCTCCATCCTCTATGGCTGCATGTAACAGTCCTATTTCTCCCTCTCTAGGACTCGCCACTAGCCCTGCCAGGTCAACTTCCAGTGCAGTCCCTGTATGAAGCCCACTGCAAATAGCCACACAGCCATCGTACTCTGAATCCTCAGTTACCACCTCCATCGTCTCCAGTCCTGGTCTTCTAGAGAGAGAGTCAGCTGCAGTGTTACACCGGCCAGGGCGGTACTGGACTTTGAAATCGAATATGGCAAGCTGTGCAGCCCACCTCTGTTCAATGGCACCCAGCTTAGCTGTGTTGAGGTGGCAGAGGGGATTGTTATCTGTTAGAACAGTCAATTTGGATCCTAGCAGGTAACTCCTGAATTTCTCCACCACAGCCCATTTGAGTGCCAGGAGCTCCAGCTTCATACTACTGTAGTTCCTGTCATTTTGCTCTGAGCCCCTCAACCTCCGGTTTGCATAGGCTATCACAGTCTTACTTCCCTCTTGCTGCTGGTATATCACAGCACCCAATCCCAGGTTACTGGCGTCGGTCTCCAGCACAAACGGTAGGGTGAAGTCTGCGTAGCCTAGTGTCAGAGCACAGGTAAATTCCTCCTTGAGGTGCTCAAAGGCTTGCTGGCACTCCACTGTCCAAGAGTCCTTAAACAACTTGTTGGCCTGAGCAACACTCCCTTGGTGGACACAAGTGTTTACAACATCCGGACCGGCCACTTTAGAGAAGCCCTCAATGAATCTCCGATAGTAACTGCAGAATCCTAAAAAGGATCGCAGCTCCTTTAGAGTGTTAGGGATTGGCCACTGTTTCACTGCACTCACTTTGTCTGGGTCTGTAGACACCCCTTGAGCAGATATCACATGCCCTAAGAACTTTACCTCGGACTGCAGGAAGTGGCATTTTTCCACCTTAACTTTGAGTCCGGCCTCCCTCAACCTTTGTAACACAGTCTCAAGCCTCACTAAGTGTCCCTCGAATGTACTTGAGTACACAAGCAAATCGTCCAAATAGACGAGTACCATTTGAAAGACCAGGTCACTCATTATGGCCTGCATGAGACGTTGGAATGTCGCTGGCGCATTACATAAGCCAAACAGCATCCGCTGGTACTCATACAGGCCAAATGGTGTAATGAAAGCTGTTTTGTGGCGGTCCTTCTCATGAACTGAACGGTAGGGTGAAGTCTGCGTAGCCTAGTGTCGGAGCACAGGTAAGCTCCTCCTTGAGGTGCTCAAAGGCTTGCTGGCACTCCCCTGTCCAAGAGTCCTTAAACAACTTGTTGGCCTGAGCAACACTCCCTTGGTGGACACAAGTGTTTACAACATCATGGAGCGGACCGGCCACCTTAGAGAAGCCCTCAATGAATCTCCGATAGTAACTGCAGAATCCTAAAAAGGATCGCAGCTCCTTTAGAGTGTTAGGGATTGGCCACTGTTTCACTGCACTCACTTTGTCTGGGTCTGTAGACACCCCTTGAGCAGATATCACATGCCCTAAGAACTTTACCTCGGACTGCAGGAAGTGGCATTTTTCCACCTTAACTTTGAGTCCGGCCTCCCTCAACCTTTGTAACACAGTCTCAAGCCTCACTAAGTATCCCTCGAATGTACTTGAGTACACAAGCAAATCGTCCAAATAGACGAGTACCATTTGAAAGACCAGGTCACTCATTATGGCCTGCATGAGACGTTGGAATGTCGCTGGCGCATTACATAAGCCAAACAGCATCCGCTGGTACTCATACAGGCCAAATGGTGTAATGAAAGCTGTTTTGTGGCGGTCCTTCTCATGAACTGCTACCTGGTGATAGCCTCTCGCTAGATCAATAGACGAGAACATCTTGGCCTTACTCAAAGCATCCAGACTCTCATCTATTTGTGGCAACGGGAATGCATCACGCCTAGTTTTACAGTTCAGCTTCTGGTAGTCCACGCATAGCCTAAGACTCCCGTCAGTCTTCCGGACTAACACCACCGGAGATGCATACGAACACGCTTTTTGAGAAGTCCAGAGATATGGTCCTTCACCTCCTGGAATTGTTTTGGTGGTATACGTCGTTATGACTGTGAGACAGGAAGGTCATCGTTCAAGGGAATCTCATGCTTTACCAGTTCAGTATAACCGAGGTCTTCATCAGTGATGGCAAACACGTCCAGGTATCCCCTCAGAAGTGCCTTCAGCTCTGCCTGCTGTGCAGGGGTACCGAGCTCGTCGTTCTCAAAAGCGAGGTGTGCTCTGATTGGCTAGCTATCCAGTGCGTCCCTGGGGGTGATGTGGCGTAGTGCGGGACTTTCTCACCCCATACAGTTTACAGAGTTCTGCAATAACGGCACTCTCGAAATTTCTCCCCTGGTCTGAATGAAGACGCTGAGGCACACCGTACTTGAGGAACCATTCCTTCAGAAGGATCTTAGCGGTAGTGTCCGCCTTCTGATTGCGGGTGGGGAATGCCTGGCTGAACTTAGTGAATACATCTGTCACAACCAGGACATTCTCCTGTCCATCCGACGCAGGTTCCAATGTGGTGAAATCCATTGCGACCACTTCCAGTGGATGAGAAGCCAAGAATGGGGTCCAAGGTGCCTGAATCTTGGGCTGCGGCATTTTGGCTAGCACGCACCGCTGGCACTCCTTCACCCACTTATCCACAGCTTTATACATCCCAACCCAATAACAACGCTGCTTGAGCAGGGCCAGCGTCCTCTCCACGCCTTGATGCCCCATCTGGTCATGAACACTTCGCAACACCATTTCGACCAGACATGTAGGGAGCAGCAACTGTTGGCATTCCCCATTGAACACATCGTCAATTGTTCTGTACATCAGCCCTTCTTTCTCTTGGATCCTGTCCCACTGCTTAAGCAACATCCTCAACGGTCTGGACAAGTGCTTTCTCTCACGATTTGTGGGTTTCCTCTTCTTGTCCCAGAAACTCTTGAGCACACTGATGGTCGGATCTGCATCCTGAAACTGACGAAGCTCATCCTTTGTGTATCCAGGTAATGTTGGGGTATTCTCCATGGGTCCCCCTCCAGTCTCTCCATCCTCTATGGCTGCATGTAACAGTCCTATTTCTCCCTCTCTAGGACTCGCCACTAGCCCTGCCAGGTCAACTTCCAGTGCAGTCCCTGTACGAAGCCCACTGCAAATAGCCACACAGCCATCGTACTCTGAATCCTCAGTTACCACCTCCATCGCCTCCAGTCCTGGTCTTCTAGAGAGAGCGTCAGCTGCCGTGTTACACCGGCCAGGGCGGTACTGGACTTTGAAATCGAATATCGCAAGCTGTGCAGCCCACCTCTGTTCAATGGCACCCAGCTTAGCCGTGTTGAGGTGGCAGAGGGGATTGTTATCTGTTAGAATAGTCAATTTGGATCCTAGCAAGTAACTCCTGAATTTCTCCACCACAGCCCATTTGAGCGCCAGGAGCTCCAGCTTCATACTACTGTAGTTCCTGTCATTTCGCTCTGAGCCCCTCAACCTCCGGCTTGCATAGGCTATCACAGTCTTACTTCCCTCTTGTTGCTGGTATAGCACAGCACCCAATCCCAGGTTACTGGCGTCGGTCTCCAACACAAACGGTAGGGTGAAGTCTGCGTAGCCTAGTGTCGGAGCACAGGTAAGCTTCTCCTTGAGGTGCTCAAAGGCTTGCTGGCACTCCCCTGTCCAAGAGTCCTTAAACAACTTGTTGGCCTGAGCAACACTCCCTTGGTGGACACAAGTGTTTACAACATCATGGAGCGGACCGGCCACCTTAGAGAAGCCCTCAATGAATCTTCGATAGTAACTGCAGAATCCTAAAAAGGATCGCAGCTCCTTTAGAGTGTTAGGGATTGGCCACTGTTTCACTGCACTCACTTTGTCTGGGTCTGTAGACACCCCTTGAGCAGATATCACATGCCCTAAGAACTTTACCTCGGACTGCAGGAAGTGGCATTTTTCCACCTTAACCTTGAGTCCGGCCTCCCTCAATCTTTGTAGCACAGTCTCAAGCCTCACTAAGTGTCCCTCGAATGTACTTGAGTACACAAGCAAATCATCCAAATAGACGAGTACCATTTGAAAGACCAAGTCACTCATTATGGCCTGCATGAGACGTTGGAATGTCGCTGGCGCATTACATAGGCCAAACGGCATCCGCTGGTACTCATACAGGCCAAATGGTGTAATGAAAGCGGTTTTGTGGCGGTCCTTCTCATGAACTGCTACCTGGTGATAGCCACTCGCTAGGTCAATAGACGAGAATATCTTGGCCTTACTCAAAGCATCCAGACTTTCATCTATTCGTGGCAACGGGAATGCATCACGCCTAGTTTTACAGTTCAGCTTCTGGTAGTCCACGCATAGCCTAAGACTCCCGTCAGTCTTCCGGACTAACACCACCGGAGATGCATACGAACTGGAGCTGTCTTGGATGACACGCTTTTTGAGAAGTCCAGAGATATGGTCCTTCACCTCCTGGAATTGGTTTGGTGGTACACGTCGTTATGACTGTGAGACAGGAAGGTCATCGTTCAAGGGAATCTCATGCTTTACCAGTTCAGTATAACCGAGGTCTTCATCAGTGATGGCAAACACGTCCAGGTATCCCCTCAGAAGCGACTTCAGCTCTGCTTGTTGGGCAGGGGTACCACCAATCTGCACTTTCTCCAAGGGACACTGCAGGTCACTGCTAACCCCGTCATTGACCTCTGGTTTACCATAACTTCCTCATGATCTGCAGAGATTCAATGGAATCTAACTTCGCAGGAGCTACTCTCAACACGACGACCCTGGCCAAGTACTCCTAGTTTCACCTTGGGTGGCAACCACACACCTTCTGGGGACAAGTTTACTACCTGCACTGGGAATACCCGCCTACCGGGTGATACCAAGGTGGGAATCAGGACCAAACCACCTGACAATGATGCCTTACCTGGCTCAAACAACCTTAAGTTTCTGTTTTCAGCTAGTTCTTTATGTGCTCTGGCCTGAATTGTAGCCACTGAGGCAGCAGGTATGTACGACTTACGTGTGCCTGCTACCCGGATCACAGAGTTTGCTCCTACTGGGGCAGCCTCTTGCACTCGGTTAAGGGCGGCTCTCCAGTCAGCATCCAACGTCCCCTTCAAAGCATTGTCAAACTCAGCTAGAATCAATTGTTTACACCGCTGTTCAATGTTCATGCCAAGTATGCCTGGGGGGGCTGAGTCAGTCTCCCCATCATTCTGGTCACGTATCACCAAGAACCCACACCCAGGTATAGTCAACCCCATTACTTGGATATCAAGTTCAACATACCCAAGGTAGGGAAGAGGCAACCCGTTGGCGGCAGTAATCTTTAACCACTTACTTGTGCAATGCATGTCTTTGTCTTCCCCATGAAGATGTTTTTTAAAGAAGCTCTCTGTCAAAGTACTCACGTTACTGCCAGTGTCTAACAGGCACTTGATGGCTACCCCCCCAGCGTGACAGGCACAGGATGGCTCCCCCCCCCCCCCCGCATGAATTTCCACTTCTGGGCACTTGCCCACTGCACGCTTCAGAAACCGCTCTTTTGTCAGTGTGCCAGTCTTTGAGCCATCAGTGTCACCTCTCATTGCTCGGCTCTTCGCAATGGAGGCGCACCGTTTCCCGGAACCAGAGACTCAGGCGTAGATGGCACATGGTTTTCCTGGAAGTGCTGCCCAGTGCATTGCCTGGCTGTGTGCCCGACGCTCTCACATCTCAAACAAATGGGTTGACCATCCCGGGTATACCTTGGCTTAAACTTGGGCTTACTAGGTTTCTCACAAGTTGGGTCAGACCTCTGAATCATGAGATCAGGGACAGCATTGGTAAGGTCCCCGATTGCTTTCCCTTGTTGTGTAATTACCTTAATTACCTCTTGTAGGACTACAGTCAAGTCATTTGGTACAGCAGCGGTCATCCTTGCATGCTCTACACTTTCCTCCAGACTCACTAGGTTTCGGTTTCGGGCCACATTAGCTGGACGAGGTCTCTCTTCTGAGCACCACAAAAGGGCCTCCTCATGAACTTCGAATAATGTAGCATGAGGTCGCTCTCTGACCACCTTGCGCAGTTCTCTCCAGAGTGCTGAATCCCTCACCCCTTCTATAAACTGGTGTCTCTAAACCAACTGCACAATTGGAACACAATGTAGTGCTTGTTGCAGTGCAGCATTTAACATCAATGACAGTGCATGTGAAAAATGTGAAAGCTGCCCTCAAATATGAGAACAGGTCTTCAGCTGACTTATCCCCCCCCCCCATACACAACCTGATTTCATCTAGTGCTGAACCCCTTAAGTGGGAGAGGATAAAATATACCTGATCCTCAGTACTCAACCCCCTCACTCTTATAACCCTCCCAAGTTCCTCAATGAACTCATCAACATTTTGGCAGTCCTTTCCTGGATCCCCACTGAAAGGTAAAATTTCTTTCTCCCTTGGGATATACACATAGGATCTAGAATGAACATTAGTCATGTTTGCGAGGGCTGACATTACTTCATCATGTCTACGTCCCAACTCCAAGATCTGGGACTGAAGCTGTGAGACAGGGTTACCTCCCTCAATGTCCATTTCCGGCGCCGCAGCACCTGCACCTTGAATGTCTTCCGCCATTGCGGCTGCACCGTCCATGTCCTCAGCATCCATGGCTTTGACGTAGTCACAGAAAGTCTCAGTTCTCAAACAGTCAGTTCAACAAGCACTGTACTCCTCGAAGTCCTCACACACAGCAGTCCTGCTATGCTGGCCCTTCGTCCTGCTGCCACTTCTGTCAGGATGGCACTGCAGGTCCTTCCAGCACTACCGTTGTTTGCACCCTTCTACTTTTGCATCGTAACAAATAAAAATCAGCCCCAAACAAAACAGAATCCCACATCTGACACCAAAATTAGATGTGGCCGGCTTGACGTCCTTCTAATATACTAAGGGAAAAGACAATGCCAAGACATCTAATAAAAAAGGATTATTTTATTCCCGACTGAGCCTCAAAGGAAACTCAGCATTAATGTTTTGTTTGGGGAAAAGTTTTTTTTTTCAGGATTCCAATCCAGTTGAACAAGAGAAGTCGTATAAAACAGAATAACAAAAAGCAAACACCCAATTCACTTCAATGGGTGCAGAAAACGAAATAAGGTAGCAGAAGAAATGTAAAGAATAAAAATAAGTTATTTACAGTAATAACCTCTAATCAAAACAGCAGATCACAAGCCCAATTTGACTTGAAATAATGCAACCAATATTGAAGAACCAATAAAGGTGTGCAAAACAATGGCAGTGGCCTATATGTGCTCTTATATGAGACTCTAGATTATCAATCACGTGGAAACTGGCACATGTGTGATCTCACATCATCATTCTCCCCTGCTCAATCTCCATTGAAGTAGGCCTGAATCCCCTCCCCCACCGGAGATCTCTCATGTGCAGCAACAAAACTCTCATTTAAACACTGAATTAAGTCATCCACTCTGTGCAGTCACACAACTGAAACCACCACAGGTCCACGAGTTGATAACCAGCCTGGATTATATCCGTTTAACAATTTTTAACAACTATTTTCTCCTCACTTGTAACTGCTGCTTCTATTGGCGCTATCTCTGTTGCCCTCTGACGCACACTCTCTCTCTTGTGCGCATGCTCAAACTCTCAAAGGAGACAGCACACATAACTGCATCATAGCGAAAACTTAAAGGGGAATCACCAGGGGAATTAAATATTAGACTATTCCTGCCCCGGTTACATATGTGAATGTGTTTACCTTTATAATGATCTTGTGAGTTGATCTATAATTTGTGATAGGTGCCCCCATGTTAGTTTGCACCGCAATTTAGAGAATCATATCTGTCGAATTTACAACATGTAAATTCACCAATTTCTCCAGAAATACATGAAAGTAAGTGGCCAGCAGAAGAAAAGAGTGAACTTTATAGTTACCTCACAATGTGTATACAATATTAATAAAACCGTCGTCAAATTATAATTGAATGGATTGTTATTGCTGCTTCCATAGACATCAGTGGGTATTTTACAAATTGTAAATGTATTGGTTTGCTAGTACTTGTGTATTTTATTGTATGCAAATAAATATTGAAATAAATATTACGTCCACGTCTACATTTGAGTCTGGCAGTATGTGATGTCACTGTACATTCTAAAATCCCATATGTGGGACCGTACTCCCAGAGGCACACAAATAACGATCCCACACGTGGGACCGTACTGCTCAAGCAGTTAAGAGAATTGGGGACTTGTTCCTGTTTGGATTTTGCTCCCAGTCTAGTTAAGGTCTTGGTGAGGTCATCTTCCCAAGGTGGTTTCTTCTTTGTTTTCGCTTACAGGTTGTTGATGTTGTTGTTTTTTGCCATCTTTCTCTCCTCCTCCATTTGAAAGAGGGATGGCATAGACTTTGTCCTGTTAGAGCCTCAGTTAGAGTATTCACGTTGACTATAAAAGCCAGTGGCATCAAGTTCTGACAAGTTGTTTGTCTGCTTAGGTGGCCATAGCAAAGGTTTTGTTGCTGAGGAATGCTGTTTAAAAGGTGTATGGGTTGTTTCAATTTCGCCTTTAAGCACGTGTGCACACTCTACAAGGAGTGTTGCTTCTGGGTTTAAACTATTTTAGACATGTCGCAAACTAAGTTAACAGTGCAATAAAGGGCATAGGCAATAAATGGAAAATAAACCAGCTCCTATAATATTTAGTAGAGTAAGAAGAAAACCTGCTTCATTTAGTTAAGGCCTATGTTGTACTGCACCATATTCCTGGAATGTGCCATTGAACAGAACAACAAAGACATAAGACTGTTTTGGAAGGATTTCAATCCATTTGTTTTCAATATGGACTTCAGAATTTTTGTGTTCCAGTTAAGTTGCAGTTGTGACTGGCCCCATTTCTGCATCTCGGCATGCAGCTACCAGCTAATTACAGTCATTTGTTTGGCCGGCTTGACGTCCTTCTAATATACTAAGGGAAAAGACAATGCCAAGACATCTAATAAAAAAGGATTCTTTTATTCCCGACTGAGCTTCAAAGGAAACTCAGCATTAATGTTTTGTTTGGGGAAAAGTTTTTTTTTCAGGATTCTGATCCAGTTGAACAAGAGAAGTCCTATAAAACAGAATAACAAAAAGCAAACACCCAATTCACTTCAATGGGTGCAGAAAACGAAATAAGGTAGCAGAAGAAATGTAAAGAATAAAAATAAGTTATTTACAGTAATAACCTCTAATCAAAACAGCAGATCACAAGCCCAATTTGACTTGAAATAATGCAACCAATATTGAAGAACCAATAAAGGTGTGCAAAACAATGGCAGTGGCCTATATGTGCTCTTATATGAGACTCTAGATTATCAATCACGTGGAAACTGGCACATGTGTGATCTCACATCATCATTCTCCCCTGCTCAATCTCCATTGAAGTAGGCCTGAATCCCCTCCCCCACCGGAGATCTCTCATGTGCAGCAACAAAACTCTCATTTAAACACTGAATTAAGTCGTCCACTCTGTGCAGTCACACAACTGAAACCACCACAGGTCCACGAGTTGATAACCAGCCTGGATTATATCCGTTTAACAATTTTTAACAACTATTTTCTCCTCACTTGTAACTGCTGCTTCTATCGGCGCTATCTCTGTTGCCCTCTGACGCACACTCTCTCTCTTGTGCGCATGCTCAAACTCTCAAAGGAGACAGCACACATAACTGCATCATAGCGAAAACTTAAAGGGGAATCACTAGGAGAATTAAATATTAGACTATTCCTGCCCCGGTTACATATGTGAATGTGTTTACCTTTATAATGATCTTGTGAGTTGATCTATAATTTGTGATAGGTGCCCCCATGTTAGTTTGCACCGCAATTTAGAGAATCATATCTGTCGAATTTACAACATGTAAATTCACCAATTTCTCCAGAAATACATGAAAGTAAGTGGCCAGCAGAAGAAAAGAGTGAACTTTATAGTTACCTCACAATGTGTATACAATATTAATAAAACCGTCGTCAAATTATAATTGAATGGATTGTTATTGCTGCTTCCATAGACATCAGTGGGTATTTTACAAATTGTAAATGTATTGGTTTGCTAGTACTTGTGTATTTTATTGTATGCAAATAAATATTGAAATAAATATTACGTCCACGTCTACATTTGAGTCTGGCAGTATGTGACGTCACTGTACATTCTAAAATCCCATATGTGGGACCGTACTCCCAGAGGCACACAAATAACAATCCCACACGTGGGACCGTACTGCTCAAGCAGTTAAGAGAATTGGGGACTTGTTCCTGTTTGGATTTTGCTCCCAGTCTAGTTAAGGTCTTGGTGAGGTCATCTTCCCAAGGTGGTTTCTTCTTTGTTTTCGCTTACAGGTTGTTGATGTTGTTGTTTTTTGCCATCTTTCTCTCCTCCTCCATTTGAAAGAGGGATGGCATAGACTTTGTCCTGTTAGAGCCTCAGTTAGAGTATTCACGTTGACTATAAAAGCCAGTGGCATCAAGTTCTGACAAGTTGTTTGTCTGCTTAGGTGGCCATAGCAAAGGTTTTGTTGCTGAGGAATGCTGTTTAAAAGGTGTATGGGTTGTTTCAATTTCGCCTTTAAGCACGTGTGCACACTCTACAAGGAGTGTTGCTTCTGGGTTTAAACTATTTTAGACATGTCGCAAACTAAGTTAACAGTGCAATAAAG